TACACAAATAATAAATATTCATGGATAAAATAGAGATCAATGCAATGAAGGATAAAAATAGAATAAAAATTATGATATCAGCGCCATCTCCGGAATAAATGAAATAAAAAAAAAATAGAGATAGATTAAAAATTGATAATACCATCTCTTGATATTTTGTTTTTGTAAAGATATTTTAAAAATATTCAAGAGATGGCACTAATACTCAATTTTTATTCTATCTTATTCTGGCTTTAAAAAAATATCTTTAATATTCGGGAAATAGCGCTAATTCTCAGTTCTTATTCTATTTCTATCTTTTTTTCATTATTCGCACTCTTTATCTCTCTTCATTTATAGTACTTTAAAAATAATACTGATTTTTTTAATTTTTAGCTTATTTATCTTTTCTTATTATTTGCTTTTTTTATTTATATTTATTCTTGAAATATGACTACAAGAATATTACATTGAAAATCTAACAATGCGATATATATTGTCCTTAAAGTTACTTTTATTAAAAATAAAATAAGAATGCCACCTATCAAACAAAGAGTTAAACATATATTTATTAAGAATTATTAAAAAATACAAATATTTAAAAAAGTAGAAAATAATTTTACAAAGAATTACATTAAAAATTAAAATAAATTATCTTCTAAAATCCTTATAATTATCTGATACTAATTTGATATTAAAAAAAAAAATAGATAACAGTTAGATATACCAATATATATAGATATATATAGATCCGAGTTAGATATACTTTTATATTATACTCGCAATAAAATTAAACAGTAAATACTTTTAAATATGTTATTAGAAAAATTATACAATATTTTATCACATTTCAATATTTTTCATATCATTTTGTCGATATTTATAAAAGGTAATAAATTATCAGATATACATATATATATTTAAAAATGAGAAAATATTGATATTATATATTTTAATATTGCCACTAACAGAAATATTAATTTTATGACTCAATATAATTTTTAGTATTATGATTAAAGTTAAAAAATTAAAAAACAAACATTACATATATTTTATAGAAATACGTAAATTATATTATCGTTATCTTTGTGCCAAAGGCGCACAATTCGACAACTTATGAAAGTTTGTATTTTAAATGTATAAGAAGATAATTATCGAGATCATAATTTCTGAGATATCAATATTTATTTTACAGTTCAATTTGACTAATAAAATATGGTTTTATTATTATGAAATTTATCATTAGAAGCCAAGTATAATAAAAAAATTTTATTCTATTTTCTTATTCGAACAAAAAACACATTCGTATTTCTAGTATAAAGTCATATATTTTTTTCAAATAAAAAAAATTATATAGAAAAACAGTTATTAAAAAAATATATTATTTTATTATATTTTTTATAAGGCAATTACAATATTATCGAACTTGGTATACAATTTGTACATTTCCTACTTCTTCGAGTGTTTCAGCATCAGTATTGCGAATCGTTAAAACCAGTAAATTATATATTATTATTTATTAGAGGTAGATATGTACATAAATAAATTTATCTAAATCTAACACTATATATGTATATATATTACTACACACGATTACTATTGGTGTATTATTGATTGGTATTTTAATTCATTGTATATGCTTTTAAATGTTGTACTGCACTTTGAAATTACATTCTATATTTTCTGTTGGTATATTTGTACTTAGTTTAGGATTTAGAATTTATGCAATATAGTGAAATAAAGATACGAACAGCACCTTACATTCAATATCACAGCTTAATACATTTTATATTATTTTTAATAATTTTGTTATTGGTATCGCATTTTTTTGGTATTTTAAATTTAAACACAATATTGATAATTTTTAATTTCTAATTAATGTTTTAAATTTTAAATTTTGAATATTAAATATTTTAAGTTTCCAATTATTATTATTTCATATTCCTGCATATCGATTTGCGATTTACAACTTATTTATTTTCTAAATTTTATGATATAATTCATAGCTTATTCCTTTTATTATTTTTTCTTATGTTGAATGTATTCTTATTATATACATGTAAAGTGCATCTTGAATTATAGTCTAGTCTTTAATCATGTTCAATCCTGATAATAAATTCGTTATTTTTCTAATTTCGTGTTTGTTTTTTTTTGTTTGTTTCATAATATTAAATACATTCCACAAGTATCATCAAATTATTAAAATGTCAATATTTTCAATATATACATTTTCAATATATAAATATTTGAATATCTGGGAATGTATATTATTTAAAAATAGACGCTATTTTTCTTTCGTAGATGCTGTTGCAGTTAACGTTGTTTGTTCTCTTTGATACCTAAAAAAAAATATAATTTAATCAAATATATGAAATACAATAAAAAATAGATTAGTTAAATTTTTTGTAATAATATGGTTCTTATACATATAATTTATTTATCTCAAAACAGAGAAATTCATACATTATGTATTCATATATATTCGCAATAAATGTAATATATTAGGTATAAAAAAATCATTATTTTTCATGATATATAAAATATATATTTTTCATGATATATATTATTTCTTATGTTTCGATATGATATGATTTGATACAATTTAAAATAATGTTGTTGTATAATATTTAAAAAATGGACTTACATTATTCCTCGACTAACTTGATACAAAGCTGTTAGCGCGACAAAAAGATTTACGCTAAAAAGACTCCAGTTTTTTGGAGTGATCGCTAAAGAATATCTGGTCCAGATTAAGCCAGTAATGCCTAAGGCAGTTGATTGACTAATGGAAATTTGACTTGCTGGCCTCTGCAGATCACCGAGGCCAGCTATTACAAGTCCCTGTAATTTGTAAACTTCGATTTTTAAACTATTAAAATAGATTTAAATTATAAAAAAAAAAAAAAAGAGATGAATAATCAAGCAAATGTAAGATGTATTCAACATTATTTACTTTAAAAAATTGACCTATATTTAGGTAGATTAACTGCAATTTGTTGTAAGATGCATGCGCACGATACTTCATAAATTTTTTTATATATAAAATTTACAATTTTTTAAATTATAAACATCTGACATTTACACGAAATAATTTTTCTTTATTCCTTTTTAGAAAATATATTGATAATATATTATTGATTTTATGTAGCATTATGGAAATACAAAATCATTACGAAATAATTAAAGGTCATAGTAATAATGTCTATCATTTTTTTTTATAATATATGAAAATATATTTAAATCAAATCTATATAGATATGTTGTAGTCAACAAATAATTTTTAAATATTTGTAAATTCAATGATAAATAAAGCATTAATTATATTTAAATAATTTAATTTAAAATAATACGTTAAAATATATTAAACATAATTAAACATATTAAATAATAATGTTTAACGAGATGTTAAAACTTCAAAGTTACTGACCCATTTAAAAGCTGGTGCCCAGAAGAATATAGTCTGCGGACCTGAAAGGGGAAAATACGTCGATACTACTGTTACATATTTCTTATAATAATTGCAATACATATTATCAATAGAAAATTTAAAAAGGAGAATAGAATAAAAATAATTCGTAATATAACGATAATGATTATGATTATATTTTCGAATTTACGTGATCATGTTTCGTAATATATGCATATTACTCAATCATATTTCAACAAGTTTCAAATTCCAATTACAAAAACTTAATTTGCGACAATTTTTAAATCATTTATTTAATGATATTGATATATTATTTTTAATTTTCTCTTTATAATTATATAATATTATAAAATTATAAAAACTTATAAAGAATATAAAAAAAAATGCATAAAAATTTAGCAATCTTAATATATAGAGCAGCATATCATAGTATGATATGATTTATATGCGTTAATAACGGTCAAGTCTATCTGAATTTACATTTATAAAAAGTAAGAAATGTTTAAAGTTTATATAATATTACATATACTTCTTATCTGCTCAGTCAAATGTAAGCAGTAGAATGACAGAAGCACATATGTCTACGCACGTGTTACTATTTGAAAAATCATCGATAACTTACTAACCAGCTGGATGATTCCACAGTGGTTGAAATTTCTGAGGTACAAACTTGCCAATCGAGTTCATTGTATTTTTATATATAACCGACATTGTGTTTTTTTATGTGTTCACACTAAAAATTGTTACTAAAAATTATTCAAAGAAAAAAAATTAAAAAATTAATTATTTGAAGATCACAAAACGGGTGACATAAAAATGACAAGTAATAAGACGATCCGCACACCGAGACTGAATATCGCGAAATGCAACGATTGGTAGTTGCGCTACTGGTATGAGTCGTCCACACTTTCCTCACCCCGCTCACATTTCCGGGACCTAAAGTGTGTGATATACTTTGTATATATTGTATGTTTGTGTATGTTATATTCGC